GGGCTGGGGGGCCCTGTGGGCTCTTGAGGGGTCTCTGTGGGGCTGGGGAGGGGCAGCTGTGGGTCAGGGATGGGGCTGGAAGCCCCTGTGAGGCTGGGAAGGGGGGAAACGGAGGGGTCTGTTTGGGGTTGGGGTGGTGTGGGGAGAGCTGAGGGGGCCTCTGGGGCCTGGGGAGGCGCTGGGGTCTGTGGGGACATGAGGGGGCTCTGAGGGGCTGGGGAGGGGCCCTGTCGGCTCTTAGGGGGCCTGTGTAGGGCTGGGGAGGGAGAGTTGAGGCAACTCTGTGGGACCTGGCGTGTCCTTGTGGGCTGTTAGGGGCCCTGTGGGGCAGGGGGTGATGTACATGGGGGGCTGGAGGGCTCACAGAGGGAGTTGGGAGTCTGTATGGGTGTTTGTGGGGTCTCTGTGGGGCTGAGGGGGCACTGCGTGGCTCAGCAGAAAGGGGGAGCATCAGGGACCAGCTGGGTGCTGTGGAGCCCCCCCTGCGTCTGTGAGGCACTTGCTGGATGTGACAGGGACCCCTGTGCCCCACGGGCACCCCAGGGTGGCGGTAGGGGCCCTTAGGCCCCATAGGAGGTGGCCCAGGGGCAGGATCCCCCCTGTGCTTCCCCTCAGCCCCCCACGCCACCCGTCCCCGCATGCTCGTGGAACGGAGCCATCGCCTTTTGAGGGACAGCCCTGGCTGTGCTCAGGTTTCCTCTTAAAATATTGATGCGTGAGCAGGGAGAACCTGCACTCGGAGCAGTGGTGGTGACTAAAGCGTCTCGGGCAGAGAAGGAAAGTCCCCTGCGTGCCAGCTCTTTATAGACTCATCATAATAAACACGTTGTGGAGCTGGGTCGTGGCTGTGAGCAGATAATTCAGCTTTGTGCAGATTCACTGAACTATTGTTTGCGAGACGCCGAATCGGGAGAATTTTCCTGCAATTCCGAGTGCCGGGTCTGCGTCACGCTCGCGCCTTTTCCTCTGATGCTTTTGGGTTCCCTTAAAATCCTAGGGATGGTCGCTGGGAGTGCTGGTCTGGGAGGCGCATTCCTAATGTGCTCGGAGCTGGTGAGTCACCTTCCTCTCCCAACTCACCTGAGCAGAAGCAGGCGGTAACAGCAGCTTGGCCGAGGTCGAGGTGCACGTCGTTCCTTGACGAAGCCACCTAATGCTGCTCGAGACGTCTTAATTACAACGCTGCTCTCATTACAGGCTGCTGGGCATGAACGTGTTTACAACGCGGAGCCTAATGCGGCATCAGTCATCAAGGTTAAGTTTGGAGGCAGCCCCGCGAGGCTTCGTCCAAGCTGGTTCCTTTCTGTCCGAGCCAAAAGCTAATTGGGGAGTCGCTCCCTCCTTTTGTGCTGAAAGCCCATTCTGTCATTACGTGGTTGTCACCACAGCCAGTACTCAAAAAGAGCTGGCTTTATTTGGAAAATAAATGCGGGTTAATTACAGGCTGCATGTTAATGTAACAAATTCAGTTAATAAGGTTTTATTCCCAAATGCAGCGTTGAAAAGGAAATGCAGAAAGCAGTGCAGGTGACATGCTCCTGAATTAATGATTTTGACTTGAATTTCAAGTGTGTGTTGAAGGAATCCTATATAAAAAGGATTCTTTAGAGGGTTTACTTGCAATGCACATAATAATCCCGTATCTGTGAGCAATACTGGGCAGTCTGTGTTTAAATAGAAGTGTGGAGGCTTCTTTGAAGTAGGAAGACCGTTTCACTCGCGAGATGACCTAAAGGTGTAGGAGTGACCCTCTCTTCCTGCAGGCGTAGCCTAAAGCTGCTAAAACTGAGCCTAAAGTGATTAAAAGGAATCTATTAAAGCAGAAATAGTTTGGAGAATGCTGGTTGCTTGCCAAAATTCCCTGATTCCATTTTGGAGCGGTATGGCTGTTCTAGGGCTAGAAAATACCAGTTACTTAAAAAAGATAGATTTTAAAGTTTCATATGAATTTGGAGGGAGTTTTAGTAGTTTGAGGTTTTTAGTTTTAGTATTTAGTTTTAGTTTTTAGTAGTTTTGTTTTTTGTTTCCTTTCTGCAGCTCAAATTTAAATGGATATAGTGTCATAATTCCTCTTAGAAATGATGGCCATATCAAAGTTAATTTTCTTGAACCATCTTCATACAATCTTGAGCTAATAATGCTCGTTTGCTTGAATTTACTCTTGAAATAAACTACTCGCTTTCGTTGCTTCCCTTCTACCTTGACAGTATTGAGGTGCAAATTTGATGGGGAGGTGGATTTGCCTACTCTGGTTCCTTTATTGTAATTTAGTGGTTGCTGTGGGAGGAAAAACCCAGTATTTTCCAAGCTGCCTTTCCTGTCAGCTCTGCGGAGTCAGGAATTTGCAGCTCCTGGCAGGGGATAAACAAAATGCTGGTAGATACTGTTGATAACTTTATTTTTCTCCCCGTAGCTCTAATGTGCTTTGAATGCCATTAAGTAGGACATGTGGAGTGGTAATTGAGTAAGTGTAATAGCCACACGCAGAGGCTATTCTAACAATTTAGATACCCTGATAACTTCACCATTTGTTCTGCCTTAATATTCTGAAACTGCATTTCAGAAATGCGCATGGTTCTGTCAGTAATGAATATTGTTCCTGATGCAATCTAATTAGTAGTTCATTAAGGTAAATGAAAAGCCCCAGAAGTTCTGTAATGTGTTTTGGTTCTTGTTCTGTTGATAAGAGGTTCTGTAGTTAAAGGCACACTGAGATAGCAGCTGAAAAGACACTGGAATGAAAGGTATGAGGGTGTGGGATATGTGTTCAAGCTTTCTAGTAGCTGTGTCAGCTCTGAGGCCCCTTCTTACACACCCACTTCAAATTCTTAACCTCTCTGAATTTCGGGAAGCTACACAAGAGTGCAGGAGAAGTGGTTTAGTGGATTTGATGTTGGGTGTCCTTTTTTTCTTTTGACTCTTCCTGGTTTGCGTTGAAAAACAAGTTTCACTGATAACTTTATGATGCAAAACTGTAGTCTTCGGCATCTGGAATTGTATGATTATGGCACATTTGTAAGAACTTTTTTAAACTGTAGGCTTATTTCATTCTTAAAACGCAAACATCTGTTGCTCAAAATTATTCACGCTTATGAAGATCTTGTTTACATAATAATTCCCCTTGCTTCTTTGCAGGTGGTATAAGCTGCGCTCCAAACCAGGGAAAAAGGAAAAGGAGAGAGGAGAGATTGAAGTGGATATCCAGTTTATGAGGAGCAACATGACAGCCAGTATGTTTGATTTGTCCATGAAAGACAAGTCGCGCTCCACGTTTGGCAAGCTCAAAGACAAGCTGAAAGGCAAGCGGAGCAGCGGGCTCTCTGACACAGCATCAGCGATCGTTCCGAGCACAAGTCACTCCCCAGCTGACAGTGAAGATGAATCTGTTGAGAAAGAGAAGAAGAAATCAAAATTCAAAACGCTGTTTTCCAAACCTGGTCTGCAGAAGACTTCTCTGTCCCAGTCCATGTCAGTCTTGCCTACTTTGCCACCTGCAAAGGAGAAGGTTAGGCTTAGACCTAGCGACTTTCAGTCGAGATGGGATGATGAGGAATCTGAGACCTCTCCAACCTCAGACAGTGAGTATTTGTGTTTGTTGCACTGAGAAAGTGCAAGCCTTTTTTTTTCCAAAGCTCTGTTTGCAGTTTTCACGCTTTGTAAAATATTAGTTAGGTGCTAGTTCAGTTTCATAGCAAGAGACCTGTGAGGTTTTTGCATAACTGAAAGATAATCTGTGAGGTCTGATACACTGAAGGATTCAGAGGTAAAGGATCCCAAGATTTGGAAGCTGGAAGTTTAGCCAGACTCTTGTGATAGTTAGGGAGCTGTGAAGTGCTGAGAATGCAGTAATGAGGATCAGAGCAGTGGATGTTCTTTTACCTTCAATGTCTCCCCATTTATTTTTTCTAGAAGCCTTTAGAAACACCCTTGAAGAGAAGTCATCTCCTTCTCCTGTATCTAAATTTCATAAAGTAGCAACTTTGGACAATAGACATCTCAACCAAGTAACGACCAGCAATACCAAGAAAGAAGGTCTCTCTTTATTTGGTGGACTTAAATCCAAAAGTGATCCCGTTTCCAAATCTAGTTTGTGTATCAATGGCAGCCACGTTTACATGGAAGAGAACACTCCGAAGGACAACACTCCAGCCTCTTCCCCATCCCCTCTCAACTTCAGGAGGAAGCAGCACTTTGCTTCAGAAGAGAACTTGTCTTCCAAAGTTACAAAAGGACCTGAAGAGATGGGAAGAACATCTCCCAGCGGTATTTTATCCGGGTCTGCATCGCTGGAGACTTTTAAATCTATGACTTTACCATCATATAAATTGCTTAGCGGTGAAGACTACGTGGAGACCCACGTTCCTCTGACTGTTGACGTTGCTAAAGAGAACAAGAAAACAGACAACAAAAAAGCTACCTTATTCTCTCTGGTCACGGGGAAAAAGGAGATGGTGAAAAACAGTGATGTTGAAAGTGTTCCAGACAGGACTCTGAAGGAGGAAGAAACCAAAGATTCAGAGGGGAAAAGTGAAAAAGAGACCAAACACCTTGAAATTCCAGCAGATTTAAGCAAAGGAAATCCTTCTGAAAATAGTAATGAAGAAATCTTCAAAAACAAGCAACCACTCAACCCCTTTGAAGAAGAGCAGAAACCTGAAAAAGCTGCTGTGTCGGCAAAGACGGCACAGACTAAAGCCGTCAAACCAAGGTCAGTCCTGGTTGTTTGAGTTGTTGATGCAGATAGATAAGTGCAGGAGCTTTAACTGGCCTGCTTGCTTCTGAAGTTGTTGTGCTGTGGGCTGTAGACACCTGACTTGGCAGAGTATCCTTGTTTTTTTAATGGGCACATGGATAGCAGTTAGTAATTTGAGTTCTGTCGAAATGGGATGTTCCTCACGAGTTCTGATGAAGTAACAGTTCCTTCTGATCGCAAATAACTTTTCAGTTATGACAGTGGTAACTCTTCTCGCTCTGTCTTTTGCAAAAACTAACATTCTGCCTAAGCTGTATGGTTTGGAACATACTCAGGATCTGAAGTACTAGTCCTAACATCTTGGTTTTTCTCTTCTGTGCTGTGGTCTTCAAAAGATTTAATCTTGGAGCCCTTCTGCTTTTGGCATCGTTCACAGCAACGTGAAGTACGTTTTGGAATTCGCACACAGAGGCTTTTTCGGAAATTCTGCTCTTGTGTCCCTCTTATATGAGTGTGTATTCTCACATGAGTGTATCCTTCATATATAGATATATGTATACACGTGTGTGTATATATATGTATATATGTAAGAACTACTGTCCTACTAATAAGGCTGTGTATTGTGTCTGTCTTTAACATCCTATTTTCAGCTCTTCTTGTATTTAAACGGCTTGCATATGCATCTTTACTAATAACACTGCTTGACGTGCAAAGGATGTAGTTACTTATAAGCAGACAGCACATTAATTGTGCAGACTCGGCACCAGCAGTGTTCTGACATCAGCCCGGTGTGATACAAACAGTAATTTAAATATCATTAAGTCTGTTAGGCTCCTCTTGCAGTCTAACCCCTCTCCAGTGTGTTAGGAGTTGGAGTCTGGTGCTGAAGCTTGTCTGTTCCTGCCTCGTGTTGCAAGTGACATGCAAGTTTTTTGTCCCTTTTGCAGACTGGGCGTGACTTCAGAGGAGGAAACCAAAGCCACGCTTTCTATTTTTGCACCTGAGTCCCTTTCTGCTTTCCTTTCTGCACGCCAGAGCAGTAGTGACAATAATCCTTTTATTTCTAAAACGGGGCAAAAAGCTGAAGTGCCAGACTCTGAAAGCATCACTAGTTCCTCTGAAGCTCCTCTTCCTCTTCCTGGTGCAGAGCTTTTGAATAGCAGGAACCCCTTTGTTTCAAAGCGGGGCAAGGAATCCAAAGTGCTGGACTCTGGAAATGTTGCTGCTTTCTCTTTACCCCATCATCTTTCAGCTTCTGTTCCTGAAACAGCTCTTTCCGTGCAGCTCTCTAGTAATGGGAATAATCCTTTTACTTCTGAATGGGCACAGGGCTCCCAGGGTCAGGATTCTGAAAGCTCTAAAGCTAGTGCTTCCTCGGATCTCTCTTGGGCACCTTCCCTTCGTTCAGACTGTCATTTTAACACCAGTAACCCCTTTGTATGCAAACTTGGGCAGGAACTAGATGCACCCGCTCTTGAAACAGTTGCTGCTTCTTCCTCTTTCTCCCTTCCTTGTGAGGAGGACTGTTCCTCAGCAGAAAACGCTGTTAATCTGGAGCACTCTCTTCATGGGGCTTCGAGGAGCTCTTCAGACTCTGCTCTAACTGGTGATTTAAATAGTGTTTCGAGCTCTTCAGACACCTGCATTAAGGATGCCAGCTATCTTGCCTCTCTCTCCAAGTGTGGTGATAACCTCTTCCCAGAGAACAGTGCTGAGCAGCTACCTCCTGCTAAGAACAAGCCAAAGGAGAAGCAGGAAACCTTTAGTGAATGCAGAATGGAAGATGATAAACCCCTGGTAGAGACTGAAGCGGCTCCTCATGCAGCTGACTCTTTGCCACAGGTAGCACCTCCCAAACCAACCAGGAGCGTTTGCACGCTGCCCCCTCAGGAAGCTGATGTAGGAAGGACTGACAGGGAGGTTCCTCCTGGGTCTCTCACACCAAAACCAGCACCAAGACTGTCTTTGGCACTGAAGGCGCATGCAGCGGTCTCTCAGACTGATGCACTCGGTGGTGGTGCGTTTCCTTCAGATGGCAACGCACAATCTGCTGCTGGGCTTCTTTTTCCCAATGAGGAACCCTCAAGGGCTCCTGGATGCCCCCCTGCAAATGATTCGTCAAAAACTGTCACTCCAACAATAACTCTTAGAGGTAACAGCAGGCCTTTAAAATATGAGGGGGATGATTTAGTTGGCCCCCTTGCAAATCTGAAGTGTGCCGTTCCCATTGCTGGAGATTATGGCTTGAAAGCGGCTGTTCTTCCAGTTATTCTAGAGGGAGGCTCTGATGAAGAGCTGCTGGAAGACTCTCAGGAGGACCATAGTGATGATAAAAACTTCTTGGAGGCTGGAAAACAGTCTAGAGATGTAATGGCTTTGGGTGAAGAACTAAAGGAGCATTCAGGAACCCTACCTGCTAAAGGAAGTGCCCCGGATATTTGTAATTCTGGCAAAATACCTGTGCTACCTGCAAGCCTGGGTGTTTGCAGTGTAAATAATAAGACAGCCCTGGTAGGTGTGACGTCTCATTCCAGTGAGCCTAAGAGTCATTTTGAGAGACAGGAGCTAAAAATAAACGTAGGTGTCGATGAGAGTGCAGAGCGTGATCTCCTCGAGCCTCCTGCTGCTTGTTCCTCTGTGCCTGGCTCCTCCCAGCCTTCCTCTTCCTCTCCTCCCTTCCCTTCTCACACACAAAGTAATAGAGCAGAATCTGCGAATAAGCCAACAGCAGAGGGCTCCGCTGGTAAAGCCGACAATTCCGGCGAGAGGAAACTCCTCCGGGCGTGGGTTTCGCCCTCTGAAACGTATCCTAGCCAAAGGCAGCAGGGCGCTGAGCCCGTGTCTCCCAAGCACAGGTGAGAGAACGTGGGAAACACCTGGAAGGGCCAGGGCTGGTTTGTGAGCCTTGTGTTTCCTTCCTGTGAGCGTGGATCTGTCCATCCAGCTGCAGAAACCTATTTATTTTGCAGTGATACGCCATAAACACAGCACTGCCTCTTAGGAGCTACAATAAATTTCCTCCCTTATTAGAACTGGCCCTATAAATCCTCTTTACATGGTTTTACCTAGGTTCCTTTAGCACTTTATGGCACCAGTTCAGCCTGTGCAAGACAGAACTCGTGTTTGTTCCGGGGCTGTAGATGTATTTGGCGTTTTGCAAGAAGCACAAACCTATCCTTGTGCATTAATGTATAAGCCTGCTTAAAAGACCCAAGTAATTGCTCCTGTGTATTGCCCCCTTGTGAAGACCGACCTTGTTTTCCTTTTGTCACGTGCTGTTTGGGATGGATTTCCCATGTTATTACATCTTTATCTCAGATGCCTTAAGCAAATAAAATCAATGGAGAGAGAATTGGAGTGTGCCTTTATAAAGCCCCTCGTTTAAATAGAAATGCCTTGTCATATTGAAGCTTAATTTTCTTTTTTTATTGAGGACAGTAGAAATCTTCCTTATTTTTTGCTGTTATTTATTTTTAGTCAGAAGACCTGTATACTGTCAGTGTGACATTGCCTAAATAATGTCTTTTTTTCTTACAGGCTTCAGCCTGTGAAGCCAATGAATGCCACCGCAAGCAAATCTCAAGCTAAAAATATGAATGTCCTCAGCACTATGAATGAAAAGCTGCTTGAGATGAGCGTAAAGGTATGGTAGAAAGCAGCACTTTGCTGATTTGATGCCTAGGTTTAGACAAAGTTCATGCTTTTGTGATCATTCGTCTGAGCAGATGAAGAACGCTGGTGATAGGGACAGTTTTCAAAGGTGTTTTCTGCAAATGAATCTCTAATAGAATCAAAGCCTCTTGATGGAACAGGGAATTCTCAGTGGAGAGAGTTGGGGAGAGCTGCTTAGGATGTGTACACGCTGTGTAAATTGACAAAAATCTCCTTTGCAAATTCCAAATTAGTCTTTTTTGGGGGGGCTGGGGGGCATGATCTGTCCCCAAAGTTTCTTTTCTGTGGCGTAAACCTTTCTGGGGGGAGAAAATGACTCCTAGCTTAAATTTATGTTGTAAAGAACCACTCCTGGGTCCACAGGAAAAAGACCCCAGTGGATTCCACGATTTTCTAAGGGCTTTTGGGGGCATTAGGAGGAAGCTCTGGTGCCTCCTCCTGGCATAAACAGAAAAGAAGAAAATGCGAGTTAAATATTAAAGAACTTAAACTGACCTGTTTAAGCCGATGGAAAACTTCTAAGTGGTGATACCACATTCAGAATTACCCGTGATGTTGCAAGCACGCAAGCCTGTGGGATGAGCTCTCACTACAAAACTATTGCTTAGGCTGACGATCTGGTTTTGCATTTTGGAGCATAGCTTGACAAACTGACAGAAACTCCAAAGCATTTGGCAAGCTTGCTTCTAAATCGAAAGCAGACGTTTAGGAGAAACTGTCCTGATGTGATTTTTCTACAAATTAGGAATGAAATTTGAGAGGACCGCTTGGGTTTTTTTCTTGCTGTTTAGCCTGAATTTGGCTTTTGTAGTCTTTGGTGTGTTTTAAACAATAGTCATCTACAGTGACTCCTCTTCTCTCTTGAAGAAATACAGTCCTGCAGATCCTGGCTATGCTTATGCTCAGTTAACCCACGATGAGCTGATCCAGCTGGTCTTGAAACAGAAGGATACGATTGCCAAGAAAGAACTCCAGGTGCGTGAGCTCGAAGACTACATCGATAACTTGCTCGTCAGAGTGATGGAAGAAACCCCCAACATCCTTCGTGTTTCGACTTCGGGGAATAAAAAAGCTGGAAAGATCTAAAAGTTCCCTGGGCTTGGAACAAAGGACTGAATTCCTGCCAGTGGAGTTTGATTAATAAGGAGACGATGTGAAGTGGGCGGCGCTGGAGCGCTGCCCACAGGAAATGACATTTTTCCTCTTTCTGACTTGAGCAACTCTCGGATTGATTTATAGTTGCATCAGGTCTCATATGTATGGAACCCCCAGATGGAGTCAACTCCTCATATTTATTTTTTGGTATCTCTTTATTATTGGGAAGATTTAAGGAATCAAATCCGCAGGCTGGCTGTGATAACAGGGATGAAGGGGCTCGATAAGCTTTGCCTGCCAGCAAGACACTGATGATCCTTTATGAAGAATTGTTTTGTTTATTTCTTAGCAACTTTGACGATCAATTATTTCTTCCACACTGTAAGTTGTAGTGCAATATATAATATTTGTAGCGTTTGAGTTAATTTGGATGCTTTGGATAACTATATTGGAGGAGTCCAGCGAGCTGTGCTTTGGAATAAGGCTGCCTGGGCTACTTTTTAAAACCATTTCTGCCCTAACAATTGAAAGCAAGTTAACCCTTAGTTTGGAAAGGAAGCAAAGCTAATTTACTATCTTAAACAAATACTGTTTCAAGAGTGTTCTCCAAGAAATATTAGTGACTTGGGGCCAAAGGTGTAGTAAAGTAGAAGCTATTATTTGTGGTACGTGTTTTTTGGCCTATGCCTCTTGCTGCATGAAAGCTCTAATTATGGTACTATTCCATAGCAGTTTATTAATTCTGAATACCTCGTGTTTTGGAACGGGGGCTTTCCTTGGAACAGCTTTCAAAGGTGGTTGGTCTTGCAGTACTTTCCTTCAGACATTCCATAGATCTAAGAAAGGAACCAATTCAGCCTCTCTTTAGGGTGGGAGGCAGCACGCTCTCAAACCTGACTTAATTTTCTTTGTGCTCTGAAGCTCAGAAGAGGAGGAATATTTTACGTAGCTGAACAAGTGAGTTGGTTTTGCAAGACAATTGGGTATTCCGATCTGCTCCCTTAATTTGGGGCCTCTTTGCAACTTCGTAGAGGACACACTTATCCTCTTCCCCGTGCCACCGGCCAGAAAGCAACAGCACAGAGCTATGGAGCAGCAGCCAGAGCAGGCTGCTTCCACCAGAAACTAAACATCAGCTTTTTTTTGTGGCAAACCCTTGTCCAAGATGGACAAATCAGCTGCATCTTCACAGTTGTTGGATTTACCCCCATCGAGGGCCTGTGTTTTGATGGCAGGAAGCGCTCTGGAAGGAAGGCAAGACCAAAGCTCCTGAAGCACGAGGGGCTCAGTAAGTCGCTCTATGTCCCCAACGTGGGGAGTTGGGAACAACACAGTCCCACAGCAGTTTAACGAGGCACTTTAACGAGGGGCAAGACTGGCTGAATTGACTACTAATGTGTCATGAGACACTGAAAACTACTGGAAGCTTCTCAGATACTGTATTTTTGTAGTGAAGAGTAGTTAATATATTTTCCTAGAGATGTATACATTCTTTGGAAAATCCAGCAAGTGCCGTTAATTGCATTTGTTACTGTAAACTGGCTAATTACCAAAGTGTGGTCTAGCAGTGGAAGCTTTTCTGATGCAGCTCTCCTTCAAGCGAAGCCAGCATTGAAATGAGCCTATTGCTTTAAGCATTAAGAGTCTTTTAAGACTCCAGGTACTTAAGAGATAAATGCTGATTTTTTTTTTTTTAATCTGAGCAGTGAAGGGGTAGCTTAATTTTTTTTATTTTACGATACTCTTCTGTGAATGAAGGGTCTGAAATGCAGAAGTTTTTTAGCTGCAGCTCTTGGCTGGTGGTGTTAATGTTGAATGGTACTAGTTGGCATCACTGCAAGCTACTGCTGCTCCCTGTGCCTTGCAACAGGGAGGGAGATGAAACATGAACTTCAGTTTCCTCCTTGATGGAGCTCTCGAAGGAAACAGTTTTCTATATGGTTGTCCATAGCTCACTAATAAACCTGTTTTCTAGACTATAATTCCCCAGCTTTCTGACCTTCTGGTTCAGAAAATCGGAGAAACCAGCAGTGCCTTTGCACACTTTGAAATCCAAAATGAGGATATCGGCAGCCGTAAGTGGACACGTGTTAAGCAAGAGCTAACTCCTGATTTTTTCCTGGCCTTGTTTTAAAAGAATATAGGTCCTACTTTGTGCGTGGCTGCTGCAATCACTGTGATATTCTGTCTAATGCCCTTGGGGTGACGTATTAAGGAAACTGTACAACTGATATCATGCGTTCCTGTTGGCAAGGGTTCTTATCTTGAAAATGATATGCAGGCACATAAAATAATCTTAAAGATGAAGCCTTAAACCTTTAAAATCCCCTCTCTTAGTGGCCTTTTTGCCTTGCCGTGACTTTGTCCCATCACGTGGACTCAAGTTCTCTGGCTCTTGCCCCACAGCTTGTTCTTTCCTGTGGCAACAGTCCTGTACGAGCCGTGTTTTTACTTAATAGCTGTGAAAACGCTGTACAAACCTTGTACCTCAGTCTTTTCTTGGTGATTCTGCTGAAAGCCTTTGTTTGACATGAAGGGTTTGGCATTTTATGTCCAACGAGATGCTTAACCTTTTGAGTGGTGACTTTGAGGCTTGAGAATCGAGTGTATTTTATTATTGAAGGATTTGAATGTACCTTTCCCTGTTTTATACTATCTGCTTTTGGCCTGGGGACCTCTCTGTTTTAAAGTGACCTTTGGTTTTATGGAACACTAAAATAAAAGTCCTCTTAAATCCAGTGTCCTGTTCGCTTTGCCTTTTTTTCTGTAGTCATTTCGGAGCTCGTACCCGCAAAAAGCGGAGCGTGGAGATGTGAATGCTACTGAGCAATTGGGGTTTTTTTTTGTGTGTTTAAGTATCAAAATGTTAGTGTTTCTCACTAATTCCTCCTGAAGGAGGTCAGAAGCTGTGTGTTTTCACCCTTCCTTTGTGTCCCCAGGGGCTGTTCCAGCCTGTCACCTCATGGTTTGACTTCAGGAAGCGGCTCCCTGTGTCTGCTGGGAAGGAAGATCCGTGGGATCTGTGTCCAGGTGCAAAGCGGGTCAAAAATAAATTCCGGAGCCACTGGAAAACGCCCCTATGAGCGTCACCACTGCCCCTGACTCCTCATCCCGCAGGTATTTTCCATTCCCTTCCAGCCCGGGGCAGTCCCGGCTTGCACTCCTCATCCCGCAGGTATTTTCCCTTCCAGCCCCGGGGCCATCCTGGCTCCCTGTAAACAGCTGGCGGGCTGGGGGAACCTGCTGGGCGAGAATCCTGGTTTCTGTGAGGTGAAAAGGGGCGAGAGGCTTTGGGCCTTACTCAAAGCCTTGCCTAAAGCCGTGCTCAAACCCCCTAGGACCGAACGCACCCCTAGCTGTAATGGCCTGGCCTGGGCTGAAGGGGCCAGGGTGAAAGGAAGGGGTCGGGGCCATCAGCCGGGTGCCGCCACCCCAAGTGTGGGCAGTGCCGCTTCCCGGTGGGATCCAGGGCCGCTCCGGAGCGCTGGCTCCTCATGAGACACCATGGGGACCCTGAGGGGCCGCGGGCGGAACCGCCGCCATGTGCAGGAGGGCGGCGCCCGCTGGCTCCTCCCCGCGGGGCCGGGCCGGCGCCTGGGCGGCGCGGCCGCAGCCGTCACGGCCCGTGCGGGGCGGG